CTACATTTCATTTGAAATTTCAAATTTGCTTTAGGTTGCCGAAGAGTTTCGTCAGCTTGAAATGAGACTGAATAATGCTATGGAGCATCGCAGAGATATCGCTAGGGTGATTATCAGTTTTATTCATTCTCAGCTTATTGCTTTCTTTCATATGCTTATCGTGTTTTTAAGTATTTACTTCTGCTTCTACGTCACGAATGCATTGACTATTTGATAAGAAATTCTCTAACATTTTCTAATTTAATTAGAGTCTGGACCTGAGGAGCAAAAGCACGTAGATTAGTGCCTTAACTATTGCGATCCATATGTGGTCTTGTTTCATACGACTTTATTCAAAGTACGGTTAGCTTCTTATTAGCTGTAGAAGTTTTGGTTCTTTGATCACTTGTAATTTATATTATAATCAACGCGCTGAAATTAGAGCAAAGTTCATCTCGTTGCCGCTAGCATTAGAAAAAAAGAGATGACGCTGCAGCGGCTTTTAGATAGAACGGAATTGTCTAACATTTAATTGCCTAGCTGTTGGCAATATTTTGTAGGCAACTACTTAGATACTAAATTGCTTCAATCACAGACAAAATATGCACAAATGGAACAAATACATCAGCCTTAAATCATGTACTTTATTACAGATAGAACAGCAAATACAGCAACGGTTTGCCCACTACGACAAGGATCCCGAGTTTGTGAAGGTAAATGTTTTTTCAAGGAATTGTTATGCTTGAAGTCTTATAGACCCAGTGCAAAGTTTCTTACTTTGTAGCTGTATTTTTCTATTTTTTGAGTAGTTAAAGCCTTCGAATAAAGAGTCAGTTATGCATCTTTGTTTCTCAACATGTATTGAAATCATTAGTGGCCCATCTTGAAGCTTTTGAAATTTTAATTGATCGATCTAATGGTAACGAAATTGGCAAATATAGATGATTTCGGAATCTTAACATTGGCTCCATTCCAGTTATTTCCTTATGCTGATATCAAAGTCAGCAAAAAGAATGTATTTGTAATTAGTTTCATTATGTGTTTCTTACTTCCTCTTGTTGTATTCTCAGAGATGTTCCTTTACAAAGTGTTGTACATTGAAGAAGAAGCTTTTTTGCTTATGTGACATCCCAGTCGTCAACGTTGTAAAAGCCCTCTCTATGTGCGCATTAAATTTTGAGTGCATTGGCGAGGTTATATTATTTGAGAAACTTTGGAAATCAGACTTCATAGAGCATTTTGTTGAATTATGAATTTTGACTACGAAACTTTTCAGACACGTCAACGTTACGCAGATTTGCATTCGAAGTTGGCGGTGCTCAAATCACGTATATCCGACTTTGAACGCGCCCAAGATGTGGCCGCAAGTGGCTCGACAACTGCTGTTCCTATGGATCTTTGCGATTTGGAGTGATCATCTCGACTCTTAGTACAAAGGCATCATTGAACTGCCTGGCCAAGTTTTTGCATCCTCACGCATTCATTCGTTCATTCGTTCCACCGCTGTTCAAGTCATTCCATTGCTTGTTCCAAAGCGGTCATGCGATTTCCGATGACTATCATCCCCGTTTCAACGCACTGTCTTGAAGTTGTTAAATCGTTGTCTGCCTCAGTGCATTCTCTA